GATCAGAGCCTGCTCTAGCTGCTGATGCTGGGCCTCACCAGGGTTTGCCTGCAGCTGCTCGCAGCTGCTGATACATGAAGAATGTCAAGGACGCTTCAGCCCTGTGTACCGTGGTGTGTCGAAAACAGGTTAAGGGGAATTAGGAATAGTGGTCTGAGAAACCTAGTGTTATGGTAACGGTGGTCTGAGAAACATTGTGTTACGGTACTGTCGTGTATCGAAAACAAGTCAACAGGAATCAGAAATAGTAGCATGAGAAACTTAGTGTTATGAGAAGCTTGTGCTGTAAGCTAACTGCAAGTAGGTGGACCGTGCGAATACAACCTTTAGAGCTTAAGCTAATCAGCTAGTGACTAGTAGGCATAATAATTATCATTGTCTGTATAAATATATGTACCCTGGACCAATAAAGGGACACGTTGATTATGCTCTATCTTGACACTGAACCCGTCTCGGCGTGTCGTTCGTCCGCGGCTCCGCACCCTCTGGTTCTTCCTAGCTGTTTGTTTTCACCTATGTGCTTTCCAGGGAGGTGAGGTAGAAAATCTAAACAAGAAAATGCACTGAAATGAAGACTTTGGAAATCTACAAGTAGCAAACCAGTGCCTGTCTGTCCCTGGGATGAGGCAGTAACTGCCTGCAGAGAACAGGAGGAGCAATGCCTGCCATGTAAGTTGGTGGTAAAATGGATATTGATACTCAGATTTGTGGCTTAAAATCTGGGTCTTATTGGAATAGTTTTGGGTGTATGGGGTCAACTAAATAAGTCTGATGAATTGTCTTATTTTTTAAATCAATATTAATTAGATTTCCAAATAAATTGCTTCTTCGTGGAAAAAAATAAAGAAACAAAAAATCCTCCCCCCTCCCCCCCCCAAAAAAAAACCCCAACCCAAACCAAAACTGTTTGAAACAAATTCTAAGAATAAAGAATCCATGTATGAGAGCAATAGCCCCTGGCTCACTTGGCAGGGTGCATCCTTGGGATGTGAAATACTGAAGGGAATGGAGCAGGAACTCAAATATTCATCTTTCATATGCCAGCAAACATGCCTCATGTACTCAACAGTAGTTACTAACTTAATCTATTCTTTGAGAGAATACATGCTGTGAAGACTCAGGATTACAGGTAGCATACGTCCCACAAGGAAAAATCTCGAAGGGAAAAATAACTCTTTGTTTGTTGTTTTTTGTTGTGTTTGGTTTTGTTTGTTTGTCTTTTTGCTTTTTGTTTGTTTGTTTGTTTTTGTTTTTGTTTTTGTTTTTTTTATAAAAGCAATGAATTTGCTTTTTTTTCTCTATGCTAACATGGTAGATAGTAATACTAGAGGGACTTTCCCAGCCACAGAGCTCCCGGGGAGAGATTGGTAGTACAGCAGTAGTGTGCAGTGAGATGCCTCTCCAGTGCTGTGTCTTGTCTTCTGACAGTCCAGACAGGCTTCAAAGAAGCTATTAGAAGACAAATGCTTATTAGAAAGTAAAGACTTGTTAATTTGATAGTGTATTTCAAAGATTATTTTTTTTTTGAGTAGTTTATATTTCTGTCTGCTGAGCATGTACGTATTTGCAAAAGCCCAAATCTGTAACTTTTTGTCTCGTTCCTGTTCATAGTCTGTTGTCCAGACCCACAAGTGTCTGTTTTCACTTTTCTGCCAGTTTTGACATATCAGTTGCATTTGAAATTTATTATTCTGGGCTCAGTTTTGGATGGGTTTTACAAGCCACTAACTGTAGAGCTACTGCACGGATGTTCTTTTCAGCCTCTAAGTGCCTTAATGCAACTTGGTAGAGCTTGTAGGGTTGGGTTTTTTTTACAAAAAATGCTTTACTTCTTTCACCACAGTATGCAATAGATTGCTATTAAGTAAGAATTATGTTTTACAATGTACTGACCAATTCTGTCAAGCATAACAAAAATGCACTAAAGTAACCTGATAAATCAAGTTCACATGGCTTTATAAACCTTTTTGATTTAATTGAATTAATTATTGCCTCCCTTATATGTAGTAGATATTGACAACCAGAATGAAAACAGTTGTCATACTCAGTCTAGGATAAAAATTAACAACTAGTGTGTCTGTTAGTCATGAATGCATAGACTGCTATGGGCCAGTTTAATTTTCAGTGTGAATATTATTCATTGAAATATTTAATCCAAATAGTTTCAACACAGTAACTCCCATAGGGTTAAATATCTACCTGTGGGGATTTTACAATATACTTCTCTTCAAGCATAGTGCACTTTACCTTAAGTGAAAAAGACCAAATGTGAAAAAGACCTTCAGTGAAAAGGACCAAATCTAACTCCAAGGGAGTCAGACAGGGAGCAGAGCTTTCAGAAGCTATGTTAAGACCGTCTCACCTATTATACAAGACAAGAGAGGCATTGCGGTCTTTAAAGTCAAAGTATGTATTTTCATTTTTTCTAAGCCCTTAACCACAAGGTTCCAGAGTTGTCAGTTAATTATCAGTTAATTTAAATTATTTATTTGATCATCTAAGAGAAAAAAGGTTTGAAAACATCTAAAGGACCTTTAGGAAATGTAATTCTTTTTTTTTTTTTTTTTTCCTCCCAGAGTAATTTCCAGCTAATTTAATCTGCTGTAGATGTTTGTTGCTAAATGTCTCATAGTCACACAGAGAAGATAACCAAATCGTGGAATCTGAAGCTTTATTCCCAATATGGCAAGGGACACTACCTTAAAAATTGGTCTCCTGAGCCTATTTCAGATACAACTAGTAAAAAACAGACAAAACAAATAAAACAAAACAAAAATATTTCCTAATCTTTATCAATGATTCTGCCTTCAGCATTTAATTTTTCACTTTGGAATACTTTCCTCCTTCCATACTAGAGTTTAAATTGATTTGTCACTACACAGAGTAGCCCTTTTTAACTTTTTTTTTTTTTTTTTTTTTAAGATTAATACAGCAGTCCTGTGGAATTCTCTTTTAATTTGTTTGATGTAATTGTCCTGGAAACTGGAGTTCTGAGTTGTAAAGTACTCAGTCTGAATCAACGGGTGAATAATACTGAACTATATTAGGGAGAGTTAAGTGTGGTTTCACTGTTGGTATGTCAAGCTGATGCTGTGACTTTTCTTTCCAAAGTGATCAGCTGTACATATTCCCTTAGGCAGGTTGGTGGTCTGAAAGTCAAAGTTTCTCTTTGATGACAGCCTGGGAAATATCCCTCTAAAAGTATCTGTATATCAGAGAGACCCTAAACGTTTTCCTTTCTTTTCCACTCTTTTTCTTCATTCCAGTCTGGATTTGAATAGAAGGGGAACACTAGAATGGTCTGATTGATATAACTTATTAAAATGTCAGTATGACTCCTGTTTGTGGAAACTTTTTTACTTGCAATTGTCTCTCTAAGATGGTGAATTGCATTTTGGTACTGAGTTAGAAGTTACACAGCTTATCTTTGTGAATCTTCATCATCCTAGAATTCCATGTAAATCATTAAAATCCCGAATTTTCTGTGTAAGATCTGTACCCAATAAACTATTTAGTAATGAAAGCATCTAAGGACTGGAATATATAAACTGGAAATTCTGCTGGATTTTAAGATCTTTTGATTAAAAATACATATTGGGATGAAATATTGATAGAACTGTAGATTGCTGGGTACACTGTGTATGTCCTGGTGTTCTGATGGGCTGAGTATCCAAAGAACCTCTTGGATTCAGTTTGTGTGGCAGATACTCATCAAATGAAACTTCAGCTGGGTCCTCAGCTTCTCACAGGAGGGCGGTCTCCCTTCTCCACCCGGGGTGCCTACACGCACATGGTGCGCCCGCTGTGCATGGCCCCATCGCAGCCGCTCCCCTTCCTTCTGGCCAGGGCGCTACCACTGAGATATCCCCACAGCCCCTAGGGAGATGGGGAAGTTACAGATCTTCCTTTGAGTGCTGTATTCAACGCTTACTTGTAGTAAGTTCCAGTCCCTTATGTAGTCCAAGACTACAGCTTGGACTGATTCCTACTATTCCAACCTCAGGTCCAGAATGCTGACAGATTTGGTTCTTTCCAAGCAGACTTTGTCAGCCTCTAGTAGAGCTGTACATAGTGAGTATTTAATACAGTGTTGTAAGGGCATTAAATAGACAAGAATGATAACAACAGAGTATTCATACAAGAGGATGGGAGAGTTTGCGGTATTATGCTGTGTATTTACATTAAATAATAAGCTAACTTTATTCCCTGGATGTTCATTTCAGGTTCTTCCTCAAACATTCTTGTTACTTGATTTTGCTTATTTTATTGTCATTCTGGTGGCAAAGGAACATGTAACAGTGCTATGTGAGTGTACTGACCTGGGTGGTCCTTCATGCTGAGAACCTGTTGTTGAGTTTTAGTGTAAATTTTGTTTGTAGGAAGATCAAAAATAGTGGGGAAAAAAAAAAAAAAAAAAAAAAAAAAAACAAACTGTACCAGAAGGATTACAGGTGAAACAGAAAAACCTGTGAGCCTGATGTAGTTATTTGATAGTAATGAAGCTCAGCAGAGGAGGAGAAGGGGATGAGGGGAGAAAAGCAAAGTCTTTGAATATATTCCTGTGGAGACATTTTACATCAGTGAAGGCCATGATGCTCTTGAAGGCTTTTGAATAACAGAAAAACAGGGTTTCTGAATAACAGAAAAATCAGGTAACAACGGACCATGAATAACAGAAAAATAAGGTAACAACAGACCTTGAAGGTTTTGGAATAACAGAAAAATAAGAACGTTTTCAGTGAACAACAGAGGACTTTGGAAGAACGCCCGGAGCAAAAGAGTTATTGTGACAAAGGAAAAAAAAGACATGCATAGTTAAGCTAGCCAATCAAATGTTAGAATAGGGGTGTGAGTAATGTATGTTAACCAATAAGCACTTATGTTGAGGGGATTGACAACTTTGTAGGGGGTCTTCGATCTTAATATTGGAGTCCGTGTTGTCAGTCTCCTCAAATGTTGACCCCGACGTCCAGGACGCTATCCAGGACCCAGGACGGACTAAGGGATCAGACAAAGTGTGCTCCGAAGTAGCAGCGTCCGGGGGAGACGTCTTGGCAGAACGATCGTCTTGCCGGCTGGACTGAGCGGACAAACACCCCGGGGCCATATCATCACCTTTGCCATTACCAGGAGCAGGTGAGCAGCCGAGAAACGCGGTGGGAGCGAATGTGTCAGCTGACGAGAGAGCAGTTTTTAAATGTGAAAGCATATTTTAAAGAAAAGAGGAATTAAATATGAAGAACGAACTTTAGAGCTGTTATTAGCCTGGCTCAAAAGTAAGGGAGTACCTGTGGAATCACCACGTGCTTTTGATATTGTAACTTGGAAAGAAGCAGGAGAATTACTTTTTGAGCATGCTTCAAAGGGTGATTCAAATGTAAATTGTGTATTAACAACTTGGCGCTTGGTTTATGAGACCTCAAAAGATTTGCGTGCAGAGAAACAAGTAGGCAGCACCACTCAGAAAATTCTTTTTGACGCAAGCGTACCGCCTGAAGAACGCTTGCCAGGGATCGTCTGTAACGATCCGCCTGCAGAGACGACCGCGGCCAGCCTCGTAACAGCAGGCACTCAGACCGATCCTAGCGATGATGGCCACAAGGAGTCGCGGTCGGATAAAGAATCTGACTGTGGGACTGTGGCTTCATGACAAAGTAACAAGTCACCAAGGTCGAAAAGGGGTATCAGGCGTTCTTTGCGAAGAATGAATGATGACGGCAGCAGTGAAGCGGAATACATTCAAGGGGCTAGAAAGACAAGAGGCAGGAGTTGGAGGTAACGCCACGACAAAAGTGAGTAAATTTACAGTTGCATTTATCATCCCTGATGGATTCACATGCTGGACAAAACCTTATGTGGCACAAATTCCAGTGAACCTTATGGGAAGAGACTTGTTAGCTCAGTTTAAATGTGTGTTATCAACAAAATCAGTGAAGCCTTTTTAGCAATGGCTGCTGATCAGCGACCTATACTCAAACTGAAATGGAAAACTGACAAACCGGTTTGGGTGGATCAGTGGCCTTTAACAGCAGAAAAGGCTGCCATTTTACAACAGTTAGTACAGGAACAGCTTCAAGCAGGACATGTTCAGCCATCAACTAGTCCTTGAAATATACCTGTTTTTGTAATACCAAAAAAGTCAGGAAAATGGAGATTGTTACATGATTTACGACGAATCAATGAAGTCAAGGAAGATACGGGACCTTTGCAATCAGGATTACTGTCACCAACTATGATACCTGAGGGGTGGAACATTTTAGTCATTGATCTAAAGGACTGATTCTTTACCATACCAATCCATCCTGATGATAGTGTTAGGTTTGCATTCTCAGTGCCTACAACAAATGCACAAGGACCAGTGCAACGGTATCAATGGGTGGTCTTGCCTCAAGGAATGAAAAATTCATCAACAATGTGTCAAATCTATGTGGATATAGCATTGAGACCATTTAGAGAAAAATATCCACAGCTATTAGTGTATCATTATATGGATGATATACTAATAGCAGGGAAAGATAACACTGACCAAATTAAACAGGAAATTGGGTTACACGTTGAAAGATTGTCAATTACAAATTGCACCTGAAAAAGTGCAAAGCGTTGCACCATGGAAATATTTGGGTTGGAAGATATTAGACCACACTATCAAACCTCAAAAGGTGTCAATAAGGGTGAATGTTCAAACACTTAACGATGTGCAAATATTGTTAGGAAACATTAATTGGGTAAGGAATTCGTTGGGTATTGATAATCAGACCTTACAACCATTGTTTGAATTGCTAAAAGGAAATACAGAATTGACAGCACCCAGATCATTAGCAAAGAAGCAGAACAGGCCTCACAAAAGATAGACCAAATTTTAAGCCAGAGACAAGCACATCGTATTGTGTATGGACATCCTATAGAATTATTAATCATTAATAATGACTTTCAACCCATAGGAATGATAATGCAATGGGTAGATAAAGAGCCAGAAACAGAAAAATTAACAATTTTGGAATGGCAGTTTTTATCTCACCAGCCTCAAAAAACAATTACAACCAGACCAGAAATGTTCCCGCAGTTAATTATGAAGGGTAGGAACCGAATTGTGGAGTTAAGTGGAAAAGAACCCAAAACTATTATCATTCCTATGACAGAGCAATATTTGCAATGGTGTTTACAGAATAGTCAGTTTTTGCAGATTGCTATAGCAGCTTTTAGTGGACACATAAAGGTGCATCATCCAAGCTAATTACTTTTATGGAGCAACAGTGTTTGGAACAGAAGTCTAAGTGTAGTACCACTCCAGTAAGTGGGCCGAGAGTTTTTACAGATGGTAGTGGAAAAACTGGGAAGGCAGCCCTGACGTGGCTCGAGAATGGACAGTGGAAATCACCCGTGGTGATTTTACAGGCCTCTCCACAAATTGTAGAATGGTGAGCAGTAATCGAAGTATTTAAAAAATGGATGAAAGAACCAGTTAATATTATCACAGACTCAGCCTACATAGCTGGAGTGGTGCAGCGCTTGGAAAGGTCATTTTTAAAACAAATTAATCATGAATTGTTATTTACTCAAATGAAGGAATTATGGTTGTTATTACATCAACGAGACAATGAATATTATGTGTGTCATCACCGTAGTCATACCAACCTATCAGGATTTTGTGCGGAAGGAAATGCGAGGGTAGACAAGCTTACACAACCAGCCTTTATGATACCTGTACCTGATACATGGCGACAAGCTTGCATATCACATGAATTTTTCCATCAGTCAGTGAACGTTTTAAAAAGACAATTTAATTTACCAATTTCAGAAGGAAAGGCAATCATACAAGCATGCCCAGACTGTCAGCAAATGACAAAAGGACCAACAGTAGCAATTAATCCAAGACGATTGCAGTCACTACAATTGTGGCAAACAGATGTGACACATATCCCAGAATTTGGGAAATTAAAATATGTGCATGTATCCATTGAAACATATTCAATGGCAGTCTGTATGACAGCATCGAGTGGTGAAACATCTCGGCATGTACAGAACCATTTTAGACATGCTTTTGCCACATTAGGCATCCCCCAAAAGATAAAAACAGATAACGGCCCAGCATATGTTTCACCATCGACAGAACAATTTTTTAGCAAATGGGGATGTTGTGGTTTGGGCCTGATCGGCAACCAACCACCGCAGCTAATCACCCTCCCTTCCCCCTCCCCACCTGGGAATGGGGGAGGGGATTAGAGGGGTGAAGGGAGACTCGCAGGCTGAGATAAGAACAGTTTAATAATGGCAATAAAATGAAAACAATAACGATGATGGGGGAAAACAAAAAAAAAGAAATATATAAACAGGCAATGTATAGCGTAATTGCTCACCACCCACTAACCAATATCCAGCCCGTTCCCGGCCAGCGACCCCGAGATACCAAGATCCCACAATCACAATCCCAGAAGCGATAGAGCTCCTTCCCAACCACCCCTCCTTTATATAGTGAGCATGACGTTCCATGATATGGAATATTTCACCGGCCAATTAGGGTCAGGTGCTGTGGCCGTGCTCCCTCCCTGCTCCCTGTGCCCTTGCGCACGGGCAGGACATGGGGAGTCGGAGAGTCCTTGAAGTCTCAGCAGCAGCTGAAAACATCAGTGTGCTATCAGCATTCTTCCCATACCAAACCCAAAGCTAAATCCAAAACACAGCACTCATCTAGTCCCTGAAAAGGAATATTAACTTTATTTCAGCCCAAACTAAGACAGGGGATTACAACATATTACTGGCATTCCACAATCTCTGACAGGCCAGGCAATTATAGAACGTACACATCAAACGTTAAAACATTATTTGCAAAAACAAAACCAAGGGGAATTTGGAGAGACACCAGGAAGCAGATTAATGAAAGTACAGTATGTCATGAACTTTTTACGATTAGCAGGGAAAGACACTATTCCTCCCATTGTGAAACATATGCAAGCTATGTCAACAGGAATGTCAACATATAAAGAACAAATTAAGGTGTTAGTGAAAAACAAGGAAGGAATATGGGAAGGACCGTTTCAATTAGTAACAGGGGGAAGAGGTTATGCTTGTGTCATTACAGATAGTGGACCTACGTGGATCCAGGCAAAATGGGTGAAACCGGCAGTAGAAAAGGAACCTTCGTCAGATGGATCATCTTTGGAGCAGCAATCACCGCGACAGCGACAGCAGGACCATGGACCATCCAAACAAGACAAAGCTTATGGGTGTCTTTTGCAAACTTAACAGGGCAAACATTGTGTCTGTCATTAGCCACACCCGGAGATCAATTCAGAACATGTCTTATTGGGAAGGCGGTGAAGGACTTTAAAGATTTTTGGGAGTATGTGAATGACGCTAGAGTCTTAAATAACGTGCGATATGCTAGCGACATTCAACAGATCATTCAGGCATTCAATCGCATTGGGCTAGACCCTGAAGAATTAAACATTCTTGCATCAGGAGGAAATAATAGTTGTGTGAGATTTAGTAAGAGAGGAAGAGGCAAAGTCACAGCGGAATCATTGGGGTTAGTGACTCAATTTCTCAGCACAAGGATCGGGACAGAAAGAGTTAGGGCATGGTTGGACGATTCAGACATGCAAGTTGTAGGCCCACGTAATCCTATATATCAGAACACATCTTGGTGGTGCGGAGGACAAATTGAAATAGTTGAATCAAAGTTAATTGACAAACCAAGGATGTGACCACCAGGAATATTTTTGATTTGTGGTGATAAAGCATGGCCTGGAGTCCCAGCCAAACCAACGGGAGGACCTTGTATGTTAGGAAGATTAACTATGTTAGCCCCATCCATGATGCAGTTATTAAAACAAACAAAACAAAGGCAAAAAAGAGATTTAGGATATCAGCAAGGTTGTAATTCGAAGGTGGTTAATTGGGGAAAAGCAGTAAGAGTAAGAGTATTTGTTTGCTCCAAATGTAGGTATAGGTAAAGCTTTAGGTAGCATAGATAAGTTGTCATGTTGGGTGGTGAAGCAAACGAATTCAACCTCAGCTTTAATATCAGAATTAGCAGTAGATGTAAATTCAGTAAGGCACGCAACGCTTCAGAATAGAGCAGCCATAGATTTTTTTATTGTTAGCTCAAGGGCATGGATGTAAGGATTTTGAAGGAATGTGTTGTATGAACTTGTCAGATCATTTGGAGTCCATTCACAACCAATTAAGACAATTAAATGATTTGACCAAATATTTGAAGAGTAAAAAGGACCCAGAATGGTTAAGAGGGTTGTTATCTGGATGGAGGATCACGGGATGGTTACAAAAAGTAATTCTCCGGGAAGGAATGGTTTTATTGGTGATTTTAATTGTTGTTATGATATTACCTTTTTTTTTTTTTTTGCAGTGTATTCAAGGGATGATTCAATGACAATATCAACAACTGCATGCCTTGGTTGTTGAAAACATAAAAGGGGGAATTGTGGAGACATTTTACATCAGTGAAGGCCATGATGCTCTTGAAGGCTTTTGAATAACAGAAAAATAAGGGCTTTGAATAACAGAAGAACAAGGTAACAACAGACCTTGAAGGTTTGTGAATAACAGAAAAACAGGGTTTTGGAATAACAGAAAAGTAAGAACATTATCAGTGAACAACAGAGGACTTTGGAAGAATGCCCGGAGCAAAAGAATTATTGTGACAAAGGAAAAAAAAGACATGCATAGTTAAGCTAGCCAATCAAATGTTGGAACAGGTGTGTGAGTAATGTATGTTAACTAATAAGCACTTATGTTGAGGGGATTGACAACTTTGTAGGGGGATAAAAATGCATCTTTCTGAATAACAAAGGGTCTTCGATCTTAATATTGGAGTCTGTGTCATCAACCTCCTCAGGGGAAGGGGCTATAGCAGTGGCCTCTGTGAGAGGTTTCTTGAAGTTCCCCCTGCTCCAAGTCAGACCTGCCTCTGCACCAAGGCTGAGCCAATTAGTGACAGTGGCTGCGCCCCTGTGATGATGTATTTAAAAAGGGAAGTGGAGTGGGAGTTGTGGGGAAGAATTGTGTCACCTATGTGAACACTGAGGTTAGTGGAAGAATAGAGAAGGAGGGGGGAGGTATGCCAGAGCAGAGACCCCCATGTCCTGTGGTGAGATGACAGGGCGTCCCCCCCTGCTACCCAAGAAGGGGTACGGTAGTGCAGTCTGTTGGGGGGCCCTGCATGGCCTCAGGTGAATGCACCCAAAGGAGACCAGGATCCTGGGGGGAGAAGCAGCCCCCGCTGTTGTAGTTTGGCACTAGGAGGATTGCAGCATGCAGGGGTGTCCCACGCCGGAGCAGCTCGGGAAGGGCTGCAGACCATGGGATGGACTCCAGTCGGAGAAAAGTTGTGGAAGACTGTCTGCTTTGAGAGGGCGACCATGCTAGAACAGGGGGAAGAAGTTCCAGAAGCTCTTCCCACCGCAGATGGCAGAAGCGGCAGCACTGACTGCACCCTCCATTCTCTGCCCCTGCGTTGCTGGGGGAGGAGGTAGAGATATCGGGAGCAGAGCTGAGCCGGGGAAGAAGGGAGGGGTGGGGGGAAGGTGTTCTCAAGATGTGGCAATGGTTCTCACTGTCTTACTCTGTCTGTTAAGTGTTGTTGTTAGTGTCTCTATTAAAATTATGGTTTTTTTTTTTTATTCTCCTAATGACTCTGTCTTTTGCCCGTGGCTGTAATGGGTGAGTCACCCCTCCCTGACCTTATCTCAAATCCTGAGCCCATGTTTATCTCCTTCTCAGTGCTGGGGGGAGAAGGGAGGAGTGAGCAGCTGTGTGGTGCTCAGTTGCCCTCTGAGCTGAAACCACGACACAGAGTTATGGCACTCAACCATTCCTTCTCAAGGCACAAGCAATGAACACCAGGGCTCCCTTCTCTCTGCAAAGTCCTGCTACACCAAACCTGGTGGAAGCACATTTAGAAAGCCTTTGGCTAACATATTAGAACAGTGTAGCATACCTAAATTCAGGGATTTAAGGCCTGAGATGGTTGCATTTTGACAGTTCAGGTACAGGAGGAGGTGCACTATGTCCTGCCTGAATTTCAAAACCTGATGCTTCCACAGAAAAGCAGCACCTCTTGACAAGTTTTTCCCTGCTTTATTTTATTCTGTCAGAATGGGTTAGTCTAACACTAGGTTATTAAATATATCCTTCTTGGGTTTCTTCATGTTACTGCAGCTGTCAATTTTCTTCCTTCCTATTTATAAATAATGTTTCCTATTTATCCTAAACAGCAACTCATTCTGCTCTCCAACTTCACAAGCTGTCAATTGCAGACACTAATATAAAGCCCAGTCTCTTAGAGTTTTAAAATAAGCATAAGAGATAGCTGCAAATTAGCCATAATGCACCTAATAGCTCAGCAAAACACTCAAGTGAAAATTAACACTTCAGCTGCTAAGAAGCTTGATAGAAAACCTTGCCTGTTGTGCTCCCGCCACAGCCGCTGCCTCACAACAGTCCCTGTGAAGTCAATCATACAGCTAATGCAGGGTGGGGGATAGTAAGAGTACCAAGTACCTGTGCATTATCTCTCATGCAGAGCCAGCCATCAGCCTGTGACAACAGCTACTACTTGCAGACCATTGCTCAGTCAGTGCATGCTGGAGCAACGTGTGCATCAGGTTCCCATGCAAGATTGCCAAAACCCAGGATTTTTTGGATACCTCTGTACAATTTATCTGAATGCAATCTGTGCTGTGAGTGCAGCTCTAAACATGCTCATGTCACCTAACTCGATGGGTCAGAGCACACTGCATGCGAGATGCTGCCTTTCTCTGTTCGTGAGGAGGATGCTGAAAGCGACTAAGTTAGCTGCCTCAAACAACACTGACTATTGCCCCAAACAGATCCAGCTGGGACTGCAAAATAAACACTTGGCTGAAGAAAAAACATTCAGCAGTCAATACTCTAACATAAAATCCTTAGTAATTTAATCCCAATTTGTATTTATTCAAGCAGCTGTGATGAATGGAAAAGGGTTACTTGGCTGAACAAGAATCCACTTGGTGAAAGGTTTTAATTAAACTTGCATTGATAAAGTGAGACATGGTAAAATAGTCGTGGGTTTGTGCTTTGTTTTGTTTTGTTTTGTTTTTAATAAAGTACTGGATCAACCACAAGTCTGTGACTGTTACAGATTTACAGAAAAGAATGACTAGGGTAAGCTGGAGCACGAGAAATCATTTTAGTGAGACTGAACATGTCACTGAGGTTTTTTTTTCCCTCCCACTCTAAGCAGTTCATAATTCACGTTCCCATGGCTACCTGGACACAATATATAGCTGATGCACATGCCCAAACTCAGCACAGCAACACACCTGACTAAGCTTTATTAATATCATGCTTTATAGGCCAGGCAGGCTATAGCCCAGAACCAGGCTCTCGAGCACCAAAAAAGCAGTTTCAGGTGGATCAAAAGTATTTGTGAATACTTTACATTTAGAAAACAATTCTTGAAAAAAGTCTGAAATAAGCAAAACATTTTAGTTTTTCAATATCAAGCATCTTGTCTCAAAAACTAGTTTCAGATAGAAAATTTTAAATTAAAGTTTATTTAGTTTTTGAAGACTAAACCAATCAAAAGAAATCACATCAAAACAATTTTTCATGGATTTTTTTTTGGATGAAGGAGAAGGAGAAGACAAAAATGGTTGGGTGGTAGTTAGGAATATAAATTTTTGAGTTTATTTTTCTGGTTCCATCAGAAAAGTAGAAAAAAAAAAGAGCTCAATTTAAAGTTTGATTTTTGATCACTAGTAGATCAAAAAGTAGATTTCAGATATTAAGTAGCAAAATAAAACTTAGAAACTTAGTAAAATAAAAACTTTGTAAATAAGATTTTGTCTTTTAAGAGAAGCACAAAATGATGAAAATGTGAAAATAGTTACAGGAACCAGTTAAGTGTTTATTTCCCTCCTCCATCCCACTTGCAATACTTGTCATGAGAAGGTATTGTTTTCATCTCTTGTTTTAATTTTGCTATAGTGGAAGGTATCTGAATGTTAATACTCGCAGTATATACTGAACCACAGTACTGTATAGAATTGTTTTGACCTTTTCAATATTCTACATTTTGAAGGACTCACCCTTTCAGCAATGTACCAGCTTCCCCCATTTAGTATCTCACCAGCTGTGGGGGAAGCAAGGGAATGTCCAATGAGAACTGAAAGAGTCTGTGAAAATACACTCCAAGAAAAAGGAAAATCTACTGAAGAAGGAACATCCAATCTATTCATGTGACAAAGATGAAAGAAGGATTGAAAATGTCATAAAACTAATTAATGCTCTTGAGAAAGCCAATAAGAAAAAAAAAAAAAAAAGAAAAAAGTGTCTTAGACTCCTCTGCTTGTAATTCCCCTAGACCTGTCTTGGATGATCCAATAAAAACACTAGAATGTACACCTTTTTGAAAATCTACTTGTAAATCAGCCAGGCTTATGATAACTTTCAAGGATTTTAAGTTATTGCTCAAGAAAAATAAAGTATGACCAACCCCCTCAAATATTCTTGATTTGCACTGTTTTTAACAGGATGTACTTGAGGTGGGCATGGAAGAGGCATAGCTTCTCTGAGGCAGGGAACTAGGCTGTCACAGTGCCTTTTCCAACACACAAAGTGCTCACTGGCATAGAAACTAACTGCAGGAGGCAATCCTGGCAGGCTGTACAGATGCCACTGTCACCTGTTACATCTGAAGGCAAAGGTCCAATTAGTATTTTACAAATAACAGAAAGCAAAAACTACTTCCCCTTCCACTGTCTCCCTCATTCTCACAGACTTAGAGCAAAACATTCTGTAATACAAAGGGAGAGAAAGAGTTTCAGATCATAACTTGGAACATGATTCTCTGAGGTTCCTGTCTGTTCATTAGAAAATTAGTTAACCCCTCACTAACACCTTCTGGAACACGCTCACTATGTTTTTTCACAGGCATGCTTCCATGTCTAGACCTGACATTGGGTAAATTAGTGATTCAGATCAACATTCACACACTTTCTGGGAGCTCCTCGTCTTTCCTGCTGCACCTCATACTAGTCAAACTCGACGTAGGAGCCAGACTATTCAGCTCATCCCAATGAATCACATCTACAACATGGTCTCAATATTATTCTGAAAAGAGTTGTGTTTCATTATACAGCTGCATGATCTAGCATCTTTAATAATTAAAATCCAGGCTTCAGTGTAAACTGGGTACCATGTCTAACTACAGCATTTTCATCACAAATTGACAAACTGTCCAAAATATTCACCCCCTTCTACCTGAGATCTCATGTTCTCAGCACTTCATTTACTCCTTTCTAAAGTATCTTTTACAAAATACTACCATTCTCACTCTCCTCTTCCCTTCAGAGGGCTCTATGTCCTAATGAAAGGCCCTCACTACAGA